CGGGTGGAGTACAGCTGGAGTACAGCTGGAGTACAGCTGGAGTACAGCTGGAGTACAGTTGGAGTACGCACTCTAGGAGTCTCGCTTTTTCCCCCTTGCTATGACCTAATTTGGTCGAAATGAAATTGGTATCGAATTGTATATCCATATCAATATGTTTACTATTAGTACGGTGTTGGCGTAAATATTCACTGCAGTCACATGTATACTCACAGTCACATCCTGAATCAAATTTTGGATTTGAATTATTGTGTTGACTTAAATTTGAAATTAACTTGTCATGTACAAATAAATCCGAATGCTAAATTATTGATTATCGTAGCTTCAACCTAATCTGGAATTGGAATTTTATTTTTAACTCCTATCAATGAATAACTATGAAGAATTTGCTTGGGTGTGAGCGTTGGTGTGGGTCTAATTTTCGTGGATCAACACTAATTGCGTTATCATTGAAATATCTTTTTATGTGAAGTTTTTCACCAAAGCTGAATATATTAAATCTTCTATTTGAAAACACACTATATCTTGAACATTTTTCTATATCTGATCAACATTTTGCTTCCAATAATCAAAATCTACCATCAATTATTTCATTAATAGCTCGATTCAATATTGAATTTGATGATATACGAGCAAACATTGTATTATAATTCTATGAAAACTATCCAATTTATATTATTTAACTGTTCGTATATGGAACATATGTGTATAGATGGAAAAATATAGGAACCAATCATTTGTAAATATCTACCGAAATTGAAAACATTTCGCTTATATATGCCCTTTATTGATCTTCAACAATATCCTTATTAAAAATAATCATTTTTATCGAGTTTCTTGTGGATTTTCTGAGAAAACCTAAAGCTTTGGGACAACAAACGTGCGACTCTGACTATTAGAGATTGTAGACTATGCGACATTTTACCTAACTTAACACATTTTTACCTATAAATAAAGCATTTGAGAATCATACTTTCAGAGGTTCAACCATTTTGGTTCAACAATGTACAGAGATCCGCTCGCATGAACATGAGAAAACAACTCTAATTTTATTGTTTAACCATTCATCGACATTCAAGCTAATATTAAAGTAACTTAACGACATGAAAGTCGGCATGAGCGAAGTCGTTCGAACGATGAAACCAGTTTTTCAATTTGTATTTGATCTTTCTTCATCAGTTCGTAGACAAGAATAGTATGGTGAAGAAAATTCTAGTTATATATTATATAATCATACGCAATATATTTATTTCTAGCTTTCTTCTACAGCAGCAGTGGATGATAAATAATATTCATATTATCCCCTATTGTGAAGGCAATTATGATTTCTTGCAATGATTTGACATGCAAAATCAATCAAGAAACGAAAAAAAATGTATGATTCATTGGCTGATCGTGATTTCATCAAAAAAATTATACAGTGTAAAATCATACTGATTAAAGTGTAAACGTGCATTGAGTTCGTGTTTTAATTTTTCATTACACGATTTCGTAACACTCCCAGGTACACTAAAATAGAGATTGAGGAGAAAAGGTCATGAAGGATGGAGAAGAGAAAAAGTATCGCAAACCAATTTTAAACGAAATTATCTATAATATATTCATTTCAATAGAAGTGAAACTTTCAGAAGACACTGATCGATAAGTTTTCAATGATATGCACCAAGATACTCCTCAGTACCGTCAAAATCAATGTTCAACAGTTAGACTATCTCAATTGTGCGACTTTATAGCTCTGTAATGTTCTGATTAAGTTTCAGTATTTTAATCGATTATTACCTTCATTCAATAGAATATATAAGACTAAGATGTCACGAACTAAATTATTTCCTGTATTTCGAATGACCACATCGTAGTTCATTAAAATACACTTTGTACAAATTTCTATTATTGACAATTGGATAATAACAGAGTAGCAAAGAAACATTGTCTGAAATAGCTCGACAACCATATTCTATAATATTGTATATGTTCTATGTTTGTTATACTTGCATTTAATTTGGTTCAAAGAAATCCATGACAGACAGCTAATCTTCTTATTAGCTCGCATCAAGTAAGTTGAATGATGTTGATGATGAAAACAGAATTCTGTCCAATCCAGTAGTTTTTAATTAATGAGAACATTATTACTTCTCGATCTATTCCTCTGGTCGTGATCTACACTACTAATACTAGTCAAAATACAGAATAATTTTCGCATCGCTTTTCTTGTCATTTTTTCTTTTGTCAAAAACAATCTTGTATGTTTTAATGGAAAATAGATTAAAAAATGTGTTTTTGATAGCGGGTATTTTTTTGTCTATTAGCAACAACTGTCGTGAATGAAGATGGAAACGATTGAAATGAGTTCAAAACGTGAACGGCTGCATCTATTTATGTTTAAAATGTTTGAGTAACAAATGAGTAAAATCTAATTGAAATTTTCTGTATAAAACGCGTTTATAGTTGCGTATGATACAGGTTCTAACATCGTATATACAGTAGTGGACAAAATTATAAGAACAGACAGTTTTTTAGTGTTTTCATTTCATTTGTCTTTACTTTTCATCTCCTCGAAATAGTTCATGTATCTACACATAT